TGAGTTATGTCGGGGTTTTATCATGACCTTTGTTAATATTTGTCCGATTAACGTGACGTGTGTTACTCATGAACGAAAACACTATAATACATGGCATAAGCTGTTTATATGTAATATTTTACTCTATTTCATCGGTTTTTTTTTCTAAACCATATTTTTATTTGATAAATTATACAAAAATATATATATATATTATTTTATATTCTATTAACATTCATATATATTTCATCATTATATTGAGATATATTCATATATATCTTTAGATAATTTTATACAACAGGATTAAGTTTTATTGTTGAAGTAAAAAAAATTCTGTTGAGAATGAAGAAGTCAATATAAGAACAACAATTTTATAATAGAAAGAATTTTTATCTATTTGTCGTTCTATCTTTCCGTCTATTGAATGTCCGCCTGTCCGACAGTGAAATTGAAAGGTTTATAGCATTCTAAGCTCCAACACTTCGTAATGTTCTCTGTTGTCGCTTATATATAGTGCGGAAGATGACTGTCTGATTATTGCGAACTCATCTTGTTCCACTTCAGACGCATGTAAAGGTTTACCGCTGGACGTAGACTTCTTCCACCTGTGGGAAGCATAAATTACGTAGTGGAGCCACGTTGCAACTGTATTATTTTATCAGCGTAAAACAGCAGCTTAATGCTACTGTGTTTCGTATGGTGAGTGTAGAGAGACTTTTTTACTGGGAATGGGCCATTCCATCTTAGTCCTCAGGGGTGACAGCGCATCTGCATTTTGATTCTTAATCGAGGATAAATGTAGAAGTCTATGAGCCACAGCGTCCGCTTACCATCAGGTGGTATGTGCGCTCGTTTGTTACCTTTATTCTTTAAAAGAAAAACATATGATGTGAAATGAAATGAATGAAACGAATGATTTTTATTCAATATAGATTATTGTATAATACTTATTGAAAGTCATTTTTTTAATTTACCACTGTTTCGCAAGAAAACCTCTGTCTCGGGAAGAACCAGCAAGAAACCCAGCGGGACTTTTTTTTAAAAATATATTTATGTTTAGAATAAATTTATTTTATTACAATTTTTGTATGAATTTTTATAGAACCAGCATGGTGGCGATCACCTCATTCCCAGTGGTTATTTTCATTTATGTATTTGTTTGTATTATAATAACCCTTTTTGTACAATTTTTATTTGATTAAAATTGCCTCAGAAAAACTCCTACATTTTGATTCGTAATCGAGAATAGATGTAGATGTCTATGGGCCACAGCAACCACTTACCATCAGGTGGACTGTGTGCTCGTTTGTCACCATATCCTTTTTTTTTAAAAAGAGACCGACAAAAATTTAAAAAATAGTTGTTCCTGTCGTGCAAATAACTCCATCAGCTCAATATAAGTCAGTTGTTTCTATATTACTGACGGACACTTCAATTTTATTGATGTATTAGGTAGATTTTAATATTATATCCTTATTTTACCCTTAGCTAGGTTCATAACCTTTAGTAGCTATTATTTCCCCTTTTCTTCTAATAGATAGTTTTAATCATTAAATTCATTATGCCGAAAACAAAAGTATACCCATAGTTATAGGTTAAATGAAATGTCATTTCCGTGAAAAATCATTAAGTTGTAAAATGGTTAATATCTAAGAATTCAGAGGTTATCAGTTGGCAATGAAGAACCATTGATTTCATGGATATACTGAATAAACTTTTATATGTTCAACGCAGGACAAGGTCACTTTTGTGATATCGCAATGACGTCTCCTCGAAACCATTGTAGAGGTCTAAATATAGTTATATAAGGACTTCGTACATTGGATCATTACACAAACTTGAGGCAAACCGTGTGTGCACGGTGCACACACGGTTTGCCTCAAGTTCCTTTTATAGAGAGTAATAAAAATTGAAAGCATATTCTAAGAATTTATAATTCGGAGACAGAAAAATTATTTGTACACTGCGCAAACGTTGGTTTTTAATCTATTTTAGTTATTTACAGCTTTAAACAGTTATTTAGGCCATATAAATATCTAATAGGAGCTAATATTGGACTTGCCATTGTTGTGGCTCATTACCGTATAAGAATTTAAAAAAGTGTGAGATAGAGAGTCACGCTGCAGCTATATTATGTTTGTAGCACGTATAATTTGGCTCGAACAGGTGTTTCGGACGGCAGGGACACGTCCAGTGCCCGCAGTCGCCCTGGGACAATCTCCCACTTTATGACGTACGTTCCTTGCCTAGTGCTGGTGACGCACGTCTCACGCACGCATGAATGCGTATGTATAATACGACCCTACTAGGACCCCAAGAGAGAGAGAGATAGACGATCAGCCGGGAGGAGGCAATTAAAACACTTTTTTCTAGGTAGCTTCTTGTTCCTTAGGTTTCGGCTTCCTTTTTCCTTATTGTTGTAGCCTCTTCGGTGGCTGTGCTGCGAAAGCTTGTAGGGGGGGGGGGTCCGAGAGAGAGTTTCTCGGTCTGCGCACACTATAGCGAGTGTGGATAAGGGCTGCATAGGCAGCTGTCTCACGAATGAGATGATTTGGGTGGGACTCTGAGGCTTTGAAAAATCTCTCAGAGAGTGATTTAAGGAACTGCTGGATTGTTGGAAGCTCTAAGTCTCGGTGTAGGTCGGCATTACGGACATAATAGGGCGAGTTAGTGGCCCTACGACAGAATAGATTTTGAACTATTTGAAGTTCTTTTATAGCTTTGGGCTTAGCATGTGCGAAAATGGGGGCCGCGTAGGTCATGACAGGTCGTATGCAGACCTTATATAGGGTTCGCTTGTTGCGGAGTGACATTTTACTGTGTCTGCCCAACATGCTGTTGAGCCTACCCATATAGAATCGTGCGGTGCGAGTAACCTTCTTGATATGGGGTTCGGAAGTGAGCCTTGCATCAAGGGTGACGCCTAAATATTTGGCTGTAGTTTGCCATGGGACAGGGGTTCCTAACATCCTGATTGGCGGAGTGGTGGTGAGACGGCATCGTTTATATTCGAAGCAAACGGCGGAGCTCTTCTCCGGATTTACGTCGATACGCCATTTTTGGAACCAAGCTCCTAAGTCGCTTACTGACTTTTGGATCTTGTTCCGAATCTGTGGCAGTGAGTTGCCTTTAGAGTAAAGGTCTGTGTCATCTGCGAAGAGAGCTAGTTTAACACCATTCGACGGGATAGGGATGTCGTTGGTGAATAGTATATATAGGAGGGCGATTTGAGCCGAAATTTGCTCAACTTTTATACCCGCCGGCGTTACCGTGCGGACGTTAGCGCGGTTTTCCCTGTCTCGCGTGTTGTTGTTGTTGCGAGCCGAAACCTTACGAGCCTTTATTTATTTATTGAAACTTTCACATAACCCTTACAAATTATACATTGTTATATTGCTCTAGTTGTGTTCTATAATATAAAATAATAATATAAAACTATTAAGTTCTCTATACAAAACAACACTAATTTACTATATCTATATTTATTAAAACAAATGTCTGATTTACTATTTCTTTTTGTTTACATTATGTTACATATAAACCTTTAATCTAACACCAGTTTTCAAAACTTAAGTATTTACAATACAAATTCTTGCTAAAAACTTCCTTACAAAATTATTATTAAAGGCTAACCTTTCAATTTTGTGATTATATTTAAATTATATTCTAATAACAGTTAATACGCTAATTACACTAATTGTGAAATTATAATAGTCTTAAAATAAAGTTCGTCACTTGGTAAATTATACTTGTCGCAGGCGCTAACTACACTAATTTAAAGAATTGAAATAGTCTTAAAACACAGTTCGTCACTGGTTGATTGTATGCTTGTCGCCGACAACCAGGGTAGAACCATCTCGTCGAAATACCATAAAATAGCAGCTTAATATGCTGTGTTTCGTATGGTGAGTGTAGAGAATTAGATACCTTTTTACTGCTAATGAGGCATTCCATATTAGTGCCCGGGTGTGACAAAGCATCTGTTGATGTCTCTGGACCACAGCATCCACTTACCATTAAGTGGACTGTGTGCTCGTTTGCTACCCTTATTCTATAAAAAGTTGTGGACAATATAAATAAATCAATAGCGCGTTAAATAAAGCGCTATTTGTATGTCACGTTAGCCAACGCTATATCAACTCTTACATAACGCTTTTAAAAATATTTTATTTTGTTTTTTAGTTGACGCTTCTCGAAGCCTCGGAATAGTGGAATTACGAAGTTTTGCCTAAAAAGCCTCTCGCTATTTAGAATCAGTTAAAGCAAACGTCAACTTCTAATTTATCACTTGTCCAATTTATCACTTAGCCAGCCACGGCTACGACACTGTACTGTGTGTGATGCATTGAGAGAAACATTTGTTCACCATTCTACTGATAATACATAATTGATTTGAACGCTTTCGTCGGAAAGATATGAGCCAGGAAAGTTAACCAAGACAGGGACAACTAATGGTGGTTGACAATAAAGCTTTAAGCGCTGTTTATAAAAGAAACCAGATGCTGTACGCCGCGGAGCAACTCTTTTGTCATTTTCATACAATATGGATTACAAGAATACTTAATAAAAGTCATATAAGTTTTACTACTGATTCAGACAAAACCTCTACGAAGAACCAGCATGAAACGCAGCGGGACTTTTTAAACATTAATTTATAGTATTATATTTTATACAATTAAGTATGAAAATATTTAGAAACAGTGTGGTAACGACCACCTCATTCCCGGGGTTATTATCAATTATGTACTTTTTAGTAGTATAATAACTCTTACTAAACGATTTTTATTAATACGTAATAAAATCTCTCAATCTCTTCCATTCTTCTATATCCTACCAACCTGACTGAATGAAACAAAGTTAATTCTCATCCTGTCTGTCTATAGCTGTTGCTAGTTTATATTAATAATGGACGGTCGGCGGATATTATACTCTGGTATTCCCTATCAAAATAGTATGCGGGCGATAGATGTATCCGTCGCCGTCCACCGTGTGGCCCGAGGCAGTAATACAATTTGAAGCAGGCTTTCGAACTGTTTCAGTGAGTCGACCAACTACCTGCTGAGTGCGGCCGCGCGCCCGCCGCCCGGCGACGACGCGCCTGGCGCCAGCACCCGCTCCACATATTCCAATTTGTAAGCTCTCTTTACGTACTATCTGTGCGGTTAAACAATGGGATTGAAAATGGCGTCACCTCTATTCATCTCTCGCTCGCACGCTGTTGCTATCTATACTCACACCCGCTGGTATAGACTCCAAAAAAGTTGTAGTAGTACACGTTGTACATCAGTAAAAGTATAAACGTTGCGATATGCGTTTTTCGCACGTCCTATCCCTTCAGTCATTGGAATCAATCAATGATAACAAAATGCAACATAATCTTTAAAAAAATATTCAGCACGGTTTCGCAAATTTTTAGCTAAACGCATTCTGGTGTTTTTTAATGTTTTTGTATAAAATATTTACATGCCCTCTAGAGTAACCATTTTTAAAAATTTCGTTTGTTTGTCTCTCTGAGCTAAACTTCGGGATGGCTGAACGAATTCTAATAAAACTTCACGAACAAAAAGAGTAATACCAGGAAAACTAAATTTTATTCGGAAAATGTAAAGGCTTTATTAAAATAGACATATTGATAAGATAAAATAAATGGTCTTTAATGATTATCTTAGGTGTTAATAACGCCACATTAATAGATCCCCCCTAGGCGAAACCAGAGTGGATCACTAGTTATAAAAGTTATTTGAAAATTATGTACGTACTTGTGTATACAATTCTTTTCAAATATTGTCCCATTAATAGAAAATTTCCAATTAATTGAATAATAACGTTAAAGCGGCATACCGTTATAAGCGGGTTTTCGTTATTGGTGCTGTGCATGTTGACGTTACGAGCTCAATGAGCCGCCATTTCTAATCCTATTCTGTATCCGTACGGACTATACATATTGTTACGAGGTTCGTGACAATAAAAACTGCCGATTGAATTACCAAAATTGACACTTTAATTACTGAACACCAATTAAAACTTGAAACACACTAGTAATTAATCACACTTAACACTTTAGTTTCTTTATTTCGCTCAGAGGACTTCGCTTGTGTCGCCAATTCAATACTGCCTCGGTCGCGACCCTTAACGCCTTTATATAGGGCTTTTTTACTGAACACTATAACAACATATATAACACTATAACAGAATATTTGAGTAGAATGCCGAAAGTTCTAGCAATGAATTTTCTAAAAAGCTCGTCTAGTTCCGCTACTCCATACTAGATGGCGCTAGTGTATTTTCGAGAAAGATCTCGACGCTCCTATTTCTGCTACTTGATACTAGATGGCACTAATAATCACCCGCCATGTACCAGAGATTAATTATGGCGCGCAACACTATCATTACGCCTCTTTCCCAGACAGATATGAACTTCTTCTTTACACGATCTTAACACATCTCTTCGTCATCGCTCCAGCTCTTTTCATTTCCCTAGAAGAGGTTGATCTCGTTGGAAGGCCTGTGTGACGCCTTGGGTTATTCCGCTTATCTACCCTAAGAAAACCCACCCTAGGGTGGATACTCGGAATCACGTGTTCGTTTATCCACCCTAAACAGGGTGGATAATCGGAAGACACTTTTTTATTGTTGTTCCGCCTTAAGTGCTGGATTTCTTAGGGTATAAACCGAATAACCAGACGCCTTAAGTGCCATTATAACCTGAGACGTCCAGTCCAGTGTGAGACGGCTGCGTACCGTAGCCGTACTGCTTTTGACATTCCCTCGGTCAAGCATGGTTATTGTGGCAAATACTCCCTGCTATGGGAGACGCTCATATCAAGATGTTAACTATTCACCAGTTTATAAGAATACTAGCGACCCGCCCCGGTTTCGCTCGGGTGCAATTCTGATACTAAATACACTACAGAAAAACTGTGAACGTTGTATATAAAAACATAGCGGCCCGCTCCGGTTTTGCACGGGTATAAAATATATAGCCTTGATCTAACTATAAATTTTAACCAAGATCTTAATAGAAAATTCCAATCCATAAATTATAGTTTTATTAAATCTAATCTTATCCAACATTATGTACTTATAATAACTATAAGTGCGATTTAAAAATTAACCTTAGAATAGAATATCATTTATATTTTAAAACTACTATCATACAATTGTTTATCGTAACTTACTTATAATTACCTACGACGTTGTCGCGCTAAAAAGCACGTTTTTATTAAGTATTGTTATTTTCCTCGCTAGAGAGCTCTGATAATAAACGCGTCCGATTGCTGCTAAATTCAAAGTGCTATAGGGAGAACCGCGGCCTCCGACGCGCTATTTATAGGCATGCTCCCGCCGCCCCGTCCGGCCGGTACCACCGCAAACTCTACGTCCCGCAATTTTTAAATCTGTAATATCTTCGAAAATATTCATTTAAATCATATGCTGTAAAGGGCCATATAGATCTATATTAAATCAACAATGTATTTAAGGTATTTAATTGGATAAGGGTTAATGCTGTATTGGTTAAAATCGCCTTCGCAAATTAGCCATTATTTGTCGTAAAAAGTAAATGACAAAAAATTTTATTGTGGGATATCCATAAGAGATAAACATAATATACCATCGCAGAGTTTTCTGTAGACCTTTTTAATGTGTACAATACTTAGTACATTATTTAGATAAATCTTGTAGGGTTCAGCCTGCATTTGCAATCTATAAGCAGAAAAATAACAGTATTTTTCCACTATTTAATGGATGTTATTATACATATAAACCTTTATCTATTTAAAAAAAACGCGTCAAAATCCGTTGCGTAGTTTTAAAGATTTCAGCGTACATAGGGATATAGGGACAGAAAAAGGACTTTGTTTTATACTATGTAGAAGGAAGGCCGCCAAGGTCGATCTCTTCCACGTCCAAATCGGAAACAATCCATATTTTCTTCGCATATACACAGTCCACCACCTCAAACATTGAGTTATATGTACTACGTACTAGAAAAGCTATTCCAAACAAAAAATATGCACTACTCTGTCTTCACGCATGCGCGGCTGTATCCCGCGTCGAGTCGCACACGCAAAGTTGATATAAACGCGCGAAATATGTCATCATGGATTATGCGCATGAAGGTTAGAGAACAGGAAAACGATCACTACGTACTAAAGCATAGCCCGCCTGTCCTTGAAAATTGTAGAATGTATAGTGGCGCTGAGTCTGAGGTCGGTGAGTAGTAACTGCGAAGTTAGCTGTTTATGAGTACAAGTAGATGAAGTTAGTTGAATAATGTACAAATTTTCATTTCATTTTTAATGAAAAAATTTTCATGCTCTGTAATTTTGTAATTTTTGACAAAAAGAAACATTAAAACGAAAAATGGAGAAATATTTTATTGTGCGCGGATGTGCAAGTTGTTTAGCATCTGATCGGAAAAATAGACTCAAAATAAATTTTATTGACCACCGTTTAGTGTCCACCGTCCATATTTCTGGACACTATTTTCTACGGTGATCATTCTCCTGTTCTCTAACCTTCATGATTATGCGTAAATAGAATGATCAGTATGTAATAATTGTTTATTTAGATTGTATTGTTAAGCAAGTACATTTATTTAATTTTTGTTTATTTTGCATATGTGCTAATTTAATTTTCGTATTATTAGCGCCGCTCCGCACTGCATGAATATCGAAGCCACAATAACAGGTGTACGGATTTAGTACAGTTTAGTTGAGCATAGTGAGTGTTCGGAATGCGAAATCTAGTGCGTAGTACATATATATCGATTATACCAAAAAACACACACATTTAGCCATTGCCCATCTTGCCGTGCATAATACCGATCCGATCGGAAACACAACAACATTAAGCTACTATTTCATGCTGGTATTCTGTGAGAGCGTGGTCCTTCCCCGGTCGAGCCGACCCATTCGTGCTACAACTATACTACTAATATAACTACAGCATGGCTCCTCTACCACTCCTTTCAATACTGTTAAGGGAAAGAATATTTACAAAATTAAATTGCGTCAACGTATATGAATAGGTAGTCGTAAAATGTTTGGATAGTAAAAAGTACAACCATTTAAATTTAACAAATGTTTTCGAATGTTGAACTCATCGCATCAACAGTCTTTTTGAGTTTACTGCTCTATATAGACATTTCTAGAATGCACTTCCTGGATTGTGAATTTTGCACATATTAAGTTCCTTGCCCGACGAGGATTCCGATACCGGCTGAGGCAACAAGGGGAGTGCCTTAAAACTGAGGAGATACGTCGAAGGGTTTTTTTAGCTGTAAACGTGCAAACTTGTGTCTTCTGGGGATTGAACTGGTTTGGTAAGCGCAAGGCAGATAGTATATACCCTCACACTGGTAAAGTAATGCTGCTTACCATCGCCATTCTGTGAAATTATTTTTGTTATGTAGAGTAAGGTGACAAACGAGCACATCGTCCACCTGGTGGTAATTGTCCTGTGGCCCATAGACATCCTACATCTATCCTCAATCAGTGGCGGTCCTAGCAAAATTTTAGGTGGTCCGAGATCTCATAGTGGCGCCCTTCTAAATACAAAACCTGAGTGTTCCTATACCATGCAGTTGCTGTTTCGTGATTTCAAATAGTATTAGACATATCAAATATCTACAGGTGTATATGCGGGGCAAGCACAGCCGTGTCTGTCGCTCTTGCCACAGCAGTCGTTCTGCTTATTCGCGTTAAAGAAATGTCCATTCCGCTCGCACTACTCTGTTGCGCTCGACAACGCCACTATGCTTGCCTTGCTGCGGTGACTAGTTGTACAGATTATTTCTCATAATAAGAGTTAATAATCTTGTTTGACTACTTTAATTTCAACTGTTGTTCTGCAGACAGTGTTAAAAAAGATAAAAGAACTACCAACAACAAACTTAATGAAAAGCCTAGATGACCAGCTTTCTGGGTTATGCGCTTGCAATTTTTTTATTAATTCGAAATAATGATTTATTATATTTACGCGAACACTACACATTGATTAAAACCACTTTTACGGATTTTATCGCGTTTAATTTTAATTATTTTTATTTTTAATTAGTGCTTTCCAGCACCCATGGTCACGGGGGACTGAGATGACTGACGTCCCGATGTCATTGTTAAACCCGGAGTAC